AGCCAAGGGTTGAGATCCCCTTACCGGTCATCTTTTAAAAAAATAAAAATAAAAAAAATAATTCCAGCCATTGGAACTGGTCTTGGCTATGCCTTTTGTCCTCCAGCCTAACACAAAATCTTCTCTTGGAGATAATGGAGAAATTTCCCCATAATCAGTATTGTCTGATTTCTATTATTCCCTCCAGTGACTCATGCGTGATTGTGGAGGCTAGCAAGCTTGAAATGCTTTGTCTCATTCTAGCTTGGACCAAATGCTTTCATTTGATCCAGAAATGTGAAGGAACTGTCTCACCCCAAGGAGCTAATCAGATATGTGGCTGAGATGACAAAAATTGGATTTGGATTTATCCAGAAAAATATTTATCTCTAGCCACATTTCGAAACAAAGAAAAAGATGTGGGTGTTCATTGTAATGATGGCTGCTTACTGTTAATTCATCATTAATGTGTAAAAGTAATATAAACATTATGAGAGGGGGAGTTTATGACTGCCCAGAGAGATGGACATCCAAGAGTTGGTCTCCTAGGAAATTTGGAAATGATCAGATCCACGCCCAGGGTGATCTCACAGCACACTAATGTAGTGACTCCAACAAATTGCCCCCCCCCCCAAAAATAACAAATCACCTTTCTCCTTGGGAATGAGAACCCAGTGCTATGCAGAGGACAGGCCTCTGGAGGTCCACACATTCTTCTTATAAAGGTGTCTTCGCTGTCCCCTCCTTGTTTGAACTGAGGTGGGCTGTAACGTGTAGCTTGTCTCTGGAACATTCACTCATATGTTCATTACTCTTTTGCTCAGCAAATACGTATCAAGTGTGTATTGGTTTCCAGACCCTGAGCCAGGCACTGCGGTGACAATGGGAACAGAACAGCCATGGTTGCCCTCATGGAGCTTACAGTCTAGAGGGGAGGAGAGATGGCTACACAAGCCTCAGCAGTCATTGTGGGCAATGGTGGAAGTGCTCAGTGCTCTGGGAGGTCCCATGGCACAGACAGCCCGGCCTGAAGGATAGGAGGAGACAGAAGGGGAGAGAGTGCTCCCAGGAGAGGGAGGGCGTGTGTGAAGGCCTCGCTCCAGGAACTGAAAGGCCGGTGTCGATGGTGGCCCTTTGCCCTCGCTGTTGCCATGGTGAGGCAAACACTTCAGGCAGAGAGCCTTCCCCCACCTTCTTCAGAGCTCTGCTCAAACATCGCTTTCTTATGGGGCCTTCCTCGACTCCCTTACTTAAAATCGCAGCCTCCACTTCCCCGGAAACTCCTCCACCCCCTCTCTGCTTTATTTTTCTCCATATTGTGAATCACCTTCAGACCCAACTTATGCTCCGCTTCCTTGTTTACTGTCTTCCCCTCAGTCGAATGGATGTGCTGTCCTCATGAGGATGGAGACCCGTCTGTGTCGTACACTGCTGTGTCTGTTCTGCCTGACATAGAAATGGCACCCAGTAAATATGTGAATGACTGAATGAGGCAGGAGAGAAGTCCAGGACCAGGCAGGAAGGGCCTTGTAAACCTTTTAAGCCAGTTGCCCTTCATCCTGAGAGCAAGGGCCTTTGAAGGTTTTAAGCAGAGGAGTGATGTGGTCAGTTTGCATCTTGGAAAGATCGCCCAGGTTGCAGTGTGGGCATGAGCTGTAGGGCAACTTTAGGTCCGACTCTGTACTGCTCTGAAATGTGACACTGTTGGCATGTTGGGGTGACAGAGAGGGCAGGCCCAAGAGATTTGAGAGCCCCCGGGGCCTCCCAGACTCCTCTCCCAGCCCACTCTTCCCTCTCTTCTGCATTTTTTCACCTCACTCTTCCTAACACATCAAAGACATCTTCAGCTTGGAAATAAACTGGATGCTTGCTATAACTTTATTTGCTACAAGGCAGATTTGATAATCATTCATGGGAGCTATAGAAGAATCAAAAAGATCTCATTAAAAAAGGAGTCTTGGGCAGGTAGTGATTTTAGTTCTGCCACATACCAGCTCAATGGCTTTGGGCAGGTTGCTTAACCTCCTGGGGCCTCTTGGTTTCCTCATCTGTGAAATGGGAGTAACAATACCTGCCTCCGGACTGTTGTGGGGATTAAATTAAATAACTACAACCTGGGATCTAGGAAGGCACCTTTTTCCACTTCCCCAGGTATTAATTAATAACCAGTCTCGGGTTATTTCCTATATATATGGGTCCCCTGCATCTTCAATGGTAAAAAATAAGTGTTACTATTAGTGTCTCAATGATGAAAAATTGCTTCCTATAAATATTTGGGGATTTGGACTAGCTCTTGTCTCACTGTATATCATTCCTATGAAAGTTGGGCTTTCTGCTTCTCTTCACAGGGAGCCCAGCAGTCCTTGGAGGCAGCAGCTCAGAAGACAGGAGAGCCTCAAAGTTGTATAAATAAAGGGCCGATATGTTCAAACAGAAAAGAATTTTACACACGCAAGCTGCACATCGACATGATGCCGTTCCTGAAGGTGATCTCACACTGAGAAGACAAGGGGTTTTATAGACACATACACAGGAATTCCAGTTAATACACTTCTGCATGGTACAAAAACAGCTTCAGAAGTCCCTCAGAGCTCCTGCTTTATCAGAGGGACAGAAAATAGGCAGTTTGTAGCAGATGAAGAATGAACAAATTAGGACAGTAATCACAGCCAGCCATCGGGGACAAATCAGTTGGGTGTCTGGTTTGGGTGGTGGGGGACAGGGAACAGAGAGGAGAAAGGATAACTTTGAACCACCTCATAAAACAGGCAAATATAGTTCATTTTATCTTGACAGTAACTAAAATAATTGTCACCGTTTTACCACTATAACTTGGTAGAGTTTATATTCCTTGTGTGGAGAAGACTAATTCTTGAGTTAACTATTTAGAAGTCAACGCAAATTCTCTTTTGGATGTCTGGCCTTGTTTTCTGCTCTCTGAGAGTTCATTGATCTCCAGGCTCAGCTTTATAGCGAGTAGTTAAGGGTATAAAGAGTGCCTGTGGTGCTGGTGCTGTCTGTCCATCCTGCAGTGCCTCAGCATCCAACACAGCGCCTGGCACATGGAAGGGTTCACCAAATGCTCCATGGATCAACCCACCTTTATCATCCCTCAGTCCTCTGGTTTAGGGCCCTTTCCCACCCATTCTGTGTCCTCCTCAGAGCTTACTGAACTGGAAATAAATGCCCATGGAGTCAAAGAAACTGACAGGGAACAGAGCCAGGCTTGGCATGGAAGGATCTCAGATGCTTCATACTACCCTAGAGGACAGCATCCCAGGCCCTTACTAAAAAAAAGTGACTCAGAAAGGCAGAAACAAGGGAGAAGAGACCAAATGCTTGCAGAATTCATAGTTCTATAGACTGGCAGGAACTTTGAAAGTCATGAGGGCCACCCTCCCAACCTCAGCTAATCCAGAGTCCTCAGGTTACACCTCTGGGCTGCTGGAATCCCAGTTCTGCAAGGGGGAACTTTGATTAAGAGTCATGCATTTGCCCAAAATCTGCCTCTCCCTTGCTGGGTTCTGCTTTCTTGGGCTTCTTCTTAGATAGCCTCTTCCCCAGTAGTGGCAAGCTGGCCATCAGCTTATCTTTCCTGGGTCATTCCAGAACTGAATGTGAACCAACTTGCGTCACATGCCCATGTCCAAATGAAATGCCATTGGCCCAGCCTGGAGCCACAGAGACTGACAAAGAAAAATGGGGTGCTTAAAAGTACAAGAAGGGAGAATGATTCTGGGCAGCAAAACAAAAGATATTTACTACAGGTATTCAAAAAAATATTGCCATGCTTCATTTTTTATATTAGTGAAACTATTCCTTTTATTCTTAGCAACAGTTTAGTTCTTCCCTTAGGGCTTGAGGAATTATGGTTGGTATTTCCTGGGATGAGATATCATTTTCATTATTACTATTTATTCATTTAACCAATATTTGAGCACCTGCTACCTGCTATGTGTCTGGCACTTTCTGGGCATCTAGGATACATCAGTAAACAGGACAAACCAAGATTTCTGCTGTGCTCCAGGCTAGTGCAGGTGACAGACAATAAACATAACAAATAAGCAGAGTGTATAGTATGTTAAAAAAGTGATGATTGCTACGGAAATGAGATAAGCATATATTTATTGAGCATCTAAAAACTGTGGTTTTTAAAGTGGGGAATAATTTTTTGGATATTTACTATCCACAGTGTTTCTTTATTACACTTTATGTTGCACAATTTTGGCACAGTACTGTTAAAGGAAATCAAGGAGTTCTGCTGGCTAAATTCAGGCTCTTGGCGTCTCAAAGAACTGGATGAGACACGCCAGAGGTGAAAAGCAAAGGACAGTTTTATTTAGCAAAGTGAGTTAACAAAGAGAGAAAACACTCCGGAGTGGGTGGAGTGGGCTCAAGTGAGAGAGAGTGGCTCAAGAGCACTGACAGGTACATTCCCAGGGGTGTAAGTCCTCCCGGCTGGATTCGTGTCGTTTGGTCATTGTTTGAGCCCTGGTAGTCTCTGTTGTTTGGAACCTTAGCTGGTGGGAGCTCACTCGTCCAATCAAATGGTGCCCGGTGTGGGGGCAGAGCTCCCTGTCTGTCTTTATCTCCTTATCTTGTCTTTATCTCTAGCTCCAGAGCCCATGCTCTCAACTATCTGCTACAAAGCTTCACTGCAGACCCCAACTGAGCCCTATCCACTCAAAAGCACTGCCTATCATGTTAGCCAAGCATCCAGCACTCCTCCTAGAAAAATCCATCCTTGAGCATGCATTCAAGCAGCTGCAATATTTTCTGACACTACTTTGCCCTTCCCTTCACTCCCACCTGAGTTCTGTGGAGTCAATATAAAGCTTTCTCTCCCAGTGATTGTTCGGTTCCCTTCAGCCAACATACAGTTTATTGAGCATCCTCTGTGTGTCAGACACTGTGCTAGGCACTGAGAACAAAGAGATGAATCATCTCCATCCTTGACCTTCCAAGATAATAACAGCACAGTGTTGTAGTGAAGGCAGGCTCAGGCTGCTATGAGAAAGATGCATTAGAATCTTACTCAAATTTAAGAACCTCTTTACAACACTGAAGACAACACTAACAGTGCTGGGCTAACAACCCATTTTACAGGATAATCTGTTTAAAACAGGCATAGATGTGGGGAAACGTGATTGATCCAGAGTACATCTGGGTTCACTTAATAATTGAACCATGTTTTTTTAAAAAAATCTATTCTGTTTTTCAAAAAGAAATGGTAATTGATGAATGAATCAGAATAGAGTTTTTTTCAGGAACTTTAGTTAGTTATCAAGGTTAACTCATGATAGTGGGGGTAAAATAGCAATAATGCCTATTAATGCTAGAAACAGAATTGAATATACTTACACTTCACATTGACATCCAGGGGTATATCTGTTATACCCAGAAGATGGGAAGTGAGAAATAAGCTTCTACCTCACAGCCATTGCACAGACAGCTGGTGACCTCAAATGCAAGGCAGAGGAAACTGCCTGAACTTGGCCAGCTGTGCCTGGAGTTAGAGCAGCCCCTTCCTGGTGTGGGCACATCCAACAAGCAAAGTGACTGCCACTGCCACTGAATTCTGTGGTCACATGGGGGAGGAATGGCATGGATTTCAATGAATGGAAGCAACAGGGAAATAATGTGTGGCCTAAAATGTTGTCCAAAAATTGAGCCGGCCACCTCAAGAGATAAGTTCTGGTCCCTAGAGCCATTTAAACGTCCTTTGCTGACCACTTAGCAGGAAAGTTGTAGAGGGATCACAAGCTGGTTTCAAGATTCAGTGATTCCAGAACACTTGAATAATATTGCCAGGAAAAACATTGAGAACACTGAGTCTGTTACATTTCCAAAAGAAAGAAGTCCAGGATTAAGTGGAATATTATCAATATTAAGTTGTCAAACCAGTAGTTGGGAAGCCCTGGGTCTTCTCTGACTCTGAGTGACCTTGTAATACTTCAGGGACTCCGTTTTCTCTTTAATATGTGGAGGTAATAATAGTGGGAACTTCATACCTGCCTCTCAACAGTAAGGTGAGAATTACATGAAATGACAGTTTTCAAAGAGTGTTCACATTTATAAAGGACTCGGTTCATAAGGGAGAAAGGAACAAACACTCATTGATCCCTGCTAAGGGCCAGGCTCCTCACATATTAAACCTTAATCTTCCCACCTCCCTTCCTGGTAAATGTGCAGATGGGGAAACTGAGGCTCTGAAACACCAGTGACATGGCTGGCAGCAGAGGGAGCTAGGATTCAAAGCCACAAAACCCACAATGCTTGATATTGATGAGATATGTCTGTTCTGTTCTGGGGAAGAATTTAATTATTTGTTCTGGCTTTGGAGGAGAGATTTGATAATATATTTTAATCTTAATAATACAAGGTACCTTATGATTTTCCTAAGCCAGTTTATTAAAGAAAAAATGTGGGCTCTTTTTAATACACAAGAAAATTTGTACTACCTTGAAGTTGAAACTTTCAAATGAGATGATGTTCTTCCATTATGAAGAAAGCATTGAAATGAGTAATTTATATTTGTGCATCACATGGGATGTTACACAGAATTTCCAAATGTATTTTCCTGGTTAAGCTTTTAAAAACTCTGTCCAATATGGATTATTGCTCCCATTTCACAGATAGAGAAGCTAAGGTTCAAGGATAAGTCATGTAGCTAGCTTGAGGCCGACTGGGAACCCACTTCCGACTCCTGTATCCCATGCTCCTCTGTCCTCCCAGCAGTTCTCGGAGAAAGCCTGCCAAGGACCTGGAAGTACCATGCTCAGATGGGGTGTTGTGCATAAGGGTGGAGAACAGGATGGCTGGCAGGTTTTCCAAGGACAGATGAGAACTTAAGATCACTTGTCCAGTGCCTGTCAGTTAACAGTTTAAGAAACGGAGGCTCAGGGGTTCAGTGACTCCCATGGTCTGTAAGATATTTAGTGTAGGAGTTAGGACTTCAGTGCATGCAGTCTGACCCCAGGACCTGCATCCCAGCCACGGAGGAAACTTTCTCTCATTGCTGGCTTCAGTGTTGCAGTTTGTGTTTACAAAGTGTTTGTTACTCCTCCCGCCCCCAGTCCTATAAAATACCACATTGCTGCCAGGGCTCTTTCTAAATACAGCCCAGTCACATCACTGGTTTGCTTGAAATTCATTACATGTCCCCATTGGCCTTCTGATTAAATTCCCATCATCAAAGATGTATTTCTTTTACAAATAGAAAAATATAACAAATGCAATTTTTTTTAAACTCCAGACTGCAACATGCAAGATCTGGCCCATGTCTAATTAACACTGTCTACACATGGCAGCCACCCCAAATACCTCCTAACCAGCACATGCTGATTCCTCTGCCTGGAATTGTCCTACCTTCCCTTCCCTGCAAGACTTAGCACTATGTCCACTAGTAAACAAACCTTCCCAGCCTAATTTAGCTTCACCTCCCATGAGGTCCTGCAGAAACCTGTCATAGTCTGCCGTAACATTTACTACACCGCCTTGCAAACTGACCTGCCATTTCCTCACAAGGCAGTGAGTGAGCTTCCTACAAATAGATCTTTCACCTTTGTGCCCCAGTGCCCACCACGGTACTGGCACATAGCAGACACTCAATAAATGTTCATTAGATGAATGAACAGAGGAAAAGCAAATGACTTGGCCAGAATAACAGAGCTGGGAGATGAATTTTCAGTCCCTCAGTTTGTTTTCCTTGCTCACCAAGTGTTTCAATCCCTCAGTTTAGTCACTGCATTTGTAACTCAACTAAAAGTGACTGGGCTGGCCAGTTAGCACAGTTGGTTAGAGAGCGGTGTTGATAATACCAAGGTCAAGGGTTTGGATCCCCATACCAGCCAGCTGCCAAAAAGAAAACAAAAAGTGACAGATAGCATTTTATTTAGATTTTTAATTCAAATTTTGAATCTGAAATATATTTAGAATGTTTTTTAAAAAATTTAAATAGGGGCCGGCCCGGTGGCGCACTGGATAGTGCGCCGCTTGGGAAGCGCGGTGGCGCTCCCGCCCGAGGGTTCGGATCCCACATACGGACCGGCTCCCGCTCACTGGCTGAGCGAGGCGCGGGAGCAACGCCGAGGTTTGCAATCCCGTTGCCGGTCCCTGGTCCGGTACGGGGGCAACACTGAGGGTTGCGATCCGTTGCCGGACACGGAAAAAAGACAAAAGACAAAAAAAATAAAAAATAAAAAATTTAAATATAAAATAGTTTGTCTCCCAGGTGCTCAATTCCCTTCCCTCAGACAACCTCCGTTGCTAGTTTCCTGTGTGCCCTTCCTAAGATGTATAATTCGTAGATAAACAAATAAAGATAGATAAATACACAGATAGATGTTTCATGTAAATTTTAGTATATTATGCATTCAGAGTCTTTTTTTTTTTACTTAATGTGTCTTAGAGTTCTTTTTATGTTGATTCATAGATACCTTGTTCTTTTTAATGGCTGCATAGTATTACACTGTATAAATTACCGTAATTCATTTGATTCATCCCCAATTGATGGGATATTTAGGTTGCTTCCAATCTTTCAAAATGAATGAATGATCTTATGTATAAGTTATTTCACATGTGTATTCATATATCTAAAAAATGAGGGGCCGGCCCGGTGGCGCACTTGGTAGAGTGTGGCGCTTGGGAGCACGGCGGCGCTCCCACCAAGGGTTCGGATCCCATATACAGACCGGTCCGCTCACTGGTTGAGTGCGGTGCGGGCGCGACACTGAGGGTTGCGATCCCATTACCGGTCACGAAAAAAGACAAAAAGGAAAAAAAAAAAAGATAACTTTTTTGACACTTTTCTAAGCAACATGCAATTGATGGTCAGAATTTCGAATTAAGACTACTTGTTTTTCTAACAAGGACTCACCTAAAGTTTCTTTCTAAATCTCTGTCTCTATTTGTTCCCATCTCCCCATCTGCGAAATAAGAATAATATTCCTTGCCCCTGACGATTCATAGCTGCATGTTGCTGAGACTGAAGGTTTATCCTTCTTGGCTTTGAAATTCTTCCAAAGAAAGAAGCTTGTTTCTCCCTTTTAATCCAATTTCCTGATAGATTAAAAGGCTTTATAAACAGGGATTTTAAAAAATGTATCTCTTTTCTTGTCTTTCTTGACTTAGCAATTTACTATGACGGAGGTAGGTTTTTCCTGCAGTATTTTTTTAAAACCTTTCAACTTATTCAGGAATGATTTGTTTTACTCTACGAGGCCAAATCTGCTTTGTCTCCAAAATGAGAAACCCAAAAGAAGGAAAATTATTTACCTGCTTTAGCTTTTTTATGTCAGCAAGTCTCATCAGCTACAAACACTAAGCTAACAAGTAAGAAACACACAGGATGAAAAGCCAAGTGAGAAAACTCAGAAGGAGTTAGAGAGAGTGCCAAATTAGCAGATAATTAATAGTCTCTTCCCAAAGCAGGCTGGGTATTTGATAACAAAGTAGAAAACTGATTGTCACTAAAGGGTGAGAGTAAACCAGGACAGACTTGCACGGCCCTCCACATCAGATTCCAGCTCCATCGCTGAAATGAACTGGGAATTGGGCAGGGATCCAGGTGACAAAGGCGTAGGCCTGTTCTCATCAGACACACAGGGCTTTCCTTGGGTCACCGACCCTACCTGCCATGTTACTTTGATACTAAAGAGCTCTTGCAGGGAGGATCAGTGATTTTCAATCCTGGCTGCGTAGTGGAATCTCCCGAGAAGCCTTAAAAATGCCCCAGCTCCAAAGAGTCTGATTTTATTGTTTGGGGTCAGGTCCTGGGAGTCATATTTTTTTAAACTCCTCAAATAATTCTAACACTCAGCCAGGGTTTGAGAACCACTGTTATAGAGATTTCTGGGTGGTGTGATTGCAAGCAGCTTGTGTGACTCAGGGAAAGAGGAAGAGGGGATCAAAAATGATAAGACACCAAATCCGTGGTAATCCTGGGAACTCCACAAAAGGCCAGTCTGACCCTTTGGCTCATTTGCTTTAAATCCTCAATGCCTCCCATTTGTTCTCAAGATAAAGACCAAAGTCCTTAACCTGACTTCAAGTCCTTGGGGATCTGACTCCTGCCCACCCTGCCCACATCTCTAGTTATACCAGTCCTCCATCAGACCCCTTGAAGTGCCCTGCTTCCTTCTGCCCGTTAGTCTTTCTTCTCCCCCTCCCCCAATAAACTCCCGCATATGCTGGACATTGAGCATAGCACAGATGAATGGTACAAGACCCATCGAAACAAGTACAACTAACAATCTAACAGTGCTCAATGCTGCTCTAAGCCTGCCTGGCTCTTTAAGGCTGCTAGCACTAGTAGTAGTAGAAGAAACAACTAAGAAAACTGGATTCCATTTTACCAAAGGTCAGGGACCACAGAATTGTTTGCATTTATTTTGTCTTATGTATTCTTTGATGTGTGTTAACCCAATAGGAAAATGGAGACGAACTGGACTGTCTTGAAGAACCAGGGCCACCCCTCAGAGGAAATCAAGACAGCCAAGGTAGAGACAGCTGGGTTGGGCTTTATAATCTTATAACTAAAATTGTTGGATGAACTTTGTGCTGTTAAAAGATGTTAATAGGGAACGACCCTTCCATTTCCTCTCAGGTCATAGGATGGAAGTCAGAACACAGACCAAAGTGCTGAGTTCAGACTTTGATGAGTTCTTAGTGCATCACAAGCCAGATGATAATAACACATTATGTCCTTGGACTTATTGAAAGATTTCTTTCCTGCCACAGGTGCAGATTGATGTAAGAGAGTAGAGACTTTGGGGGCATTACAAAAAGGCTCCACAGGCACCTCCACCTCTCTGTTCTACCTACTTTCATGGGGGGCTTGGATATGCAGATGGGGGTGCTGAGATTTCCTGCTTAAAGGAATGATGATATTCTAACAGAGGGGGGACCATCATTTTTAGAGACCCAAGCCCCTGTCACCCACGGCTCTGGGTGGCCAGAGCCGCTTGATTGTGGCTTCCTCCAAAAATGACACTGCATTTGATGATGATGATGATGATGATGATGATGATGACAATGATGGTGATAGTTTTAGGAAATACTGGGCCCCGAACCACTGGGCTTTTCAGCATAGTTCATATCCCCAGGCCCTGAACTAGACTCTAAGTTCTTTCCTGGGGGCTCCTGGGCATGCTGCATGATGCTGCCATTGGCTAGGCCCAGCTAGCAGAGCTGTTCTGTATCCTTGTTGTGGCTCGCAGAGGTGAGAACAGATGTGTGAGACTCTTGCATTCTCAAGGAGTGAATGCAGGGCCAGACAGGATTGTGCTTGTTCACTGTACAAAGGCATCCAACAGAGGGAGCATGTGGGGGCTGAAATCCAGCCTGTACTCTGGTGCCCAAGCCACACACCCCAGCACTGGGCCATGTCTTCCCACAGGGGACTCCTTTTCCTACTTGGCCCTTCCACTGGGTTGCCTCTTTCTAATTCATACAAAGCTGCTCTATACAGGCTAGCAGCTGCAGGTCTGAGCTGCTGAACTGACAGTATGGGCTCTGGAGTTGAACTACCTCAGCCTTAATTTCTCTGTGCCTCAGTGTCCTTGTCTGTCAAAAGAGGCTGAAAACATGAGGCTGCATGAGGAACAAATGAAGTAATTCACATAAAGTAGCCCTGTAATGAATAATAATCTAGACTTGGATATCACAATGAATAAATATCTACCCTCTCATGGTCACTGTTTACCAATCTGTGAAATGACTATGACTTTTCCTATCTCCTCTGGATCCCTATGAGGGAGACCATATAGAGCATATAAGATAAATGGGTAAAGTCACGGATTTTGGACTTTACCCTAAACTTGATTTTTTTTTTCTGTTTACATCTTTTACCATTTCTTTCCATGCTAGTCAAAAATAATTAATTTTTATACTAATTTTACTTTTAAAAAAGTAAAATTAGTCAAAAATAATTAATTTTTATACTGTTTCTGGATATCAGACAAAAATCACTGTTTCTGGATATCAGACAATAATATATTATGGTAGCCTGACCCCTGAGTTTGGTCAAGCTTTTAAGCAGGATTTCCGCTAACATGAGGCTCCTGCCATCTCAGTTTTTAAAGCTGAGTGACACTAGCCAGGGAAACCGTTCCAGTCTTCAGATCTTCTAACATTGTAAATCACATATGCAAAATGTGAACACTGACAAGCCTACAAGGTCTTGGCCAAGGGCAATGGAGGTTTTAGGCAGCACAGAACGTGGCCAAATCCAAGCAATGACCAAGTCAGTCAAAACAGATTTCCTATCTCATGACAGAAAGGCAGGCTCCAGCTGAGTTCCATAAAACTTATTCAGACAGTCTTTAATGCAATGAAATATCACTGCAGAAAGTAAAAGAAGGCATTTGCCTGTTCTGAATGAAAAATGCTAATGTTTAAAAGGATTTCAAATCTTTGAAGGAAAAAAAGGAGCGAGTGCCAAGGAATTTTTTTTTAACTATTTTAGGATCAATTTTTCCCCCCCCCGAGGTCTTAAGACTAATTGTCAGGATTTTTTCCTTCCTCTAAATTAAGTAGTGATCTGCATGGTTAATTATAAGCAGTGATCCAGTGCCACCTCCAGTGAGTCTTGGACTTGGTGAGAACACAGCATGCGAGTTTTCACAAGACAGGTCAACTCGGCAACCTCCAAACCAAAGGCGGCTGAGGAAATTGCTCTTGTTTTAAATACAAACCTTTCCTTTTCTCCCCTCTATTATACCCTCGAAATCCAAGGAAAGAATAAAATTTCAATTTTTATTTTAATTCTTATTTATTTCCCAGGCCAATGGTTCTCAAACTTCAATGTGCATGAGAATCACCTGGAAGGCTTATTAAAGTAAAGATTTCTGAGCCTCACCCCCAGAGTTTCTGATTCACTAGATCTGGGCTGAGGCCTGACAATTTGCATTTTTAGTGAGTTCCTGAGTGATTTTGATGCTGGTAGTACTCCAGGGACTGCACTTTGAAACCCTTTTCCTAGGCCTTGCTTCTTGTATTTATTTATCTGAATTTGGCAGCAACTCAATTTAATCTTTCTTTTAAAAATAATAGGTGAAATGGGTAACTATGTGAGGTGATGGATATGTTAATTTGCTCCACTGTAGCTTCACTTTTCATTACCTGTATGTATCCCATAACATCATGTTGTATACCTTCAATATACACAACAAAATTTATTTTTTAAAAATAAATATTTTTTAATATTTTATTTTAATTATTTTAAATATTTTAAATATTTTAATTTTTAAATATTTTTAATATTTTTAATAAATAGTCAGGGGGAGGAATTGGTGGGCAGGCACTTTTTAGGCAGCATCACTGTGATCAGGAGCACTGATTATAGAGTCTGATTCCCTGGGTTCACATCCCAACTCCACTCTTACTAGCTGCGTGGCCAAGTTACAGAACTTCTCTGAGCATCTTTTTCTCTTCATCTGTAAAATGGCGATATTAATAGTCCTTCTCTCAAGGGGTGGTTGTGACATAAAAGAGTTAATATATGTAATGTGCTTTGAAAAGTACCTGTCACAGAGTGCTCAAGAAGGATTAGCTATTAGTCTATTTTTTTAAAACCTTAATTTTAGTAACCATAATTTGTACTTTGTCAGGAAAGCCTAGTTCTAAGGTGATAACACGATGATTTCTTTACTTTCCCAATCAGTCTTGGTGGCAGGGGGGCTTGCTCGCGGGAGACTCATTTAGTCCTCTGCTGAAATCCATCTTTTGCAGCAGACCCCAGATGAAAGAGGCAGCCTTGCCACCTTTTGCATTTGGTGAAGTTACTGTAACATAACCCCTTGGAACATGACAGAATTGCTTTAAGATATTCTTAGGAAGAGTGAGAGATTTGGGGAGCCATGCATAAGGCACAGGGGGTCCCTAAGGAACAGTCTGAGACAATGGGGAGAAAAATGAAAGGCAGACCTGTGGAAACCCTCAGAAACCAATGAGCCACTTTCAGTCTATCAGAAAAAGAAGGCTCGGAGCCTTATTGCTTTATCCAAGAGATGGATGTGTAATAGTTAGGATTTGGGTACAACTGTCCTAACAAAGGCCAAAGTAAAGGGGACTTTGAACAAGATGGCAGGTTTATTTCGCACTCACAGAAAAGTCCTAGCTGGCAAGGCAGGGAGGTGAGGACAACTCCACTCCATGGGGCTGTTGGGGACCCAAGCTTCTGCTCTCTTATTATCTCTCTGCCATCCCCTTTACTATATCACCCTGTCTGCAGGGTCAGTGCTGGCTCAACAGGAGAAAAGGAGTCAGTGTTGCGCCCACAGCTGCCTCTTAAGGGCACCATTCAGAATTGCATCTGTCCCCCTCTGCTCGCATCCCATTGGCCCACCTAGCCACAAGGGAGGCCAGGAAAAAAGGCTCCTACTGGGTGTCCATGTATCAAACTAGAACTTGAGGGGGCTCTGTTCCCCAAAGGCAGAAGGGGAAATGATGTTGGGGGGCAGTTAGCAGTCTCTGCCACACGTGAGCAGATGTATCTGTCTTACACAAGCTACCACTTTCCTACCTCTTGGACCCAGTCACATTTATCTGTCATGGCAGCTCCTTAAGCTCAGTGTGCCTTTTCTCTTAGCCACAAACCCTGTGCATGCTTTATCTGCCCACTCTGTGGATTGCCTGAGAAGAGGCGCTAGGGTATCCCTACTTCCTCCATTGTGCTTTGTGGTGTCAAAGGGAGAGAAAAGTATATATAATGCTCTCATGAATTTGCCTGAGAACTTTAAAAAGTACAAAGACTTCTGTGAGGCTTCCGGTGGTATAATTTCCGTTGACCCTAATGGGAGCTGGCTAGGGAGCCAGGCTCTCTTCTTTGAAAATAAGCCCCTTAGGAAGCAGCCAACACTGTCTGCTTTTCATTGCACTTTCTATCACTTGATGATGCTTCCACTTCCCTTTGGAGCCCTGAAGTCTATTCAATTTCACACGTGCTTATAGGATGGCCACTAAGTACCACTTAGAGCCCCATGTGTTACATGTGCTTCTTGAAGGAAAGGATTGTGCCTCATTCGGGCCTATTAAATGTTCCATAAGTGAATGAATGAATGAATGAATGAATATGCTGAGGATTCAGGGGTTCAAAGATGACAAAACCATATTTCCTACCCTCAAGAACTTACAGTAGACTTCAACTTTGGGCATAATATATCCTCCCTGTGAGTAAACAGTGCCTTCTTGGGAAGGTCACAGCCCTCCAACTGGGGTGCACTCACAGAATCCACAGCCACCAGCCAGGCCCTGCATCTCCACCATAGACCCAGAAGCAGCCAGCAGGGCAGAGGATGGCTGACGCTGACAGGGAAGGAAGATGCTAGGTCCCAGCCCCATTCACTTCTAGGTGAATGGCCCAGCAGCCACCACGCCCTCATTAACCTGACAAGACTGGTCTAATTCGTGGCTAGTGTGCTAAGAAGTTACATCACAGTACAGCTGGAAGGTCTAGATCAGTGGTGTTTTTGAGAACCACCTAACTAGACCCATTCTA